TCTTGCAAGTAAGCTTTCAGGTGTATAAATTCCCCCCCATTATCCGAATAGATTGATTTAATTTTCCTATTGAAGTAGTTTTCAACAAGATTCTGAAATAGCGGAAAAATTGAAGACACGTCAGATTTTCTTTTCAAAGGAAACAACCACACAAATTTGGTAAAATGATTGACAAAAATGATATAATACCAAAATTCATCAATAGAAGTGACCGGTGATGGTCCCCAAACGTCACTATAAATTAATTAACTCCAATGGAGCAGAGCTTGTCATAGTGGACTCAAAAAATGGAGACTTGTGCATTTTGTTGCACTTACATGAATCACAAAAGAAATTATTGTTTGAAACTGATAAATCAAATGACTGCAAAAGAAGACGCAAGATAGGTGTTGAAGGGTGGCCTAGCCGACGATGCCATATATAGGGGCTGTGAAGAAGCAACAATATGATTAATGGTCAAAGAAGAACCTCTTGACAGATTGGGCGGCCATTCATAAATGCCATTAGTGGGCTTCCCTTCCGCTAGTAGCGCCCCCGTGCTCAAATCCTTCACAGTAAACAGAAAGGGATTAAATGTCACCTCAACATTATTATCAGCGCACAATTTATAAATAGAAATAAGATTCTTGTCAAGAGCAGGAACACATAAAACATTCTTTAAACTCAAAGGCTTGGTGGCAGAATTGAAGGTAACAGTCCCTGTATGAGAAATTGGATAGGATTTACCATCACCAAGGAAAACATTATCACTGCCTTCATAATCTGAATGAATAGCCAGATTCTTTAAATCTTCTACCACATGCTGATTTGCATCTGAATCGACAACCCAATGAGGATCATTTGTCTGCCGATTGCTAGTAACACAATTAACTTGAGCTTGAGTCTTTGAACCAGCAGCAGTGGAGTTTTCATTAAACAGCCATGGGAGCAATTGGAGTTTTCAACCTTCAACGCCATAGGGAGCAATTTCTTTGAGTTTTAAAACATTTTTGTGACATGCCCCAGGCCTGTCCCAAATTGACATTTAGACCCTGTTTTTTTTTGTAGGTCGAGGAAGTAGGAGTACCTGAAAAATTTCCAGAATTAACAAAAGCGGAAGATTGAGGAGCAGCAGTTGACGATCCAGCTTTGTTTTTTGCAGTATAGTTCACCATTGTGGGAGTAACAACCAAATTCGACTCACGATTCAATTGACTCTCAAAGTCAGTCAATTTATCATGAAGATCGTCAAAAGAAATCTCAAAGTCACGTGCTCGAATGGCAGCCGAAACCTCCTTATATTCAGCAGGTAGACCATGAAGAACATGGAGAACAGTTTCATTCATCGTAATAACAACACCAGCAGCAGCAAGTGTAGTGGAGTGTAGTGGTGGATTCGATAATTTTCTGGAGAAACTCAGTAACTGATGCGATCCCTTTCTTAGCTGTAAATAGAGACTCTCTCAAGCTCATAATGCGAGCTTGAGATGGCTTAGCATAGGTTTTCTCCAGAGTAACCCAAACATCCTGAGAAGTTTTCTCACCAACAACATATGAGACAACATCGGGAGAAAGAGAAGCGATCATAGCGCTTCAAAGGTGCTGATCTTGACGAAACAGATAGGAACTGGTTGTCAGATTACTAGCAATAGGGTTCTCAACAAACTTAAGGAAATCATAACCAACCAATAGAGAGTACCACTGAGTATGCCACTACCACTGAGTATGCCACGATTGGTAGTTTGTGGCAGTCAGTTTAAGAGGAGCTTGAGCGGAGGCATTAATGGAAACTAATTGAGTTTCAGAGGGGTTTGGGGTTGGCATTTGAAGAACGGTAGGAGTAGTGGAACTGGTTTCTTCCAGAGGATTAGTCATTGACAAGGAATAGAAGAATCACATATAGGATCGAAAAAAAATGCTGTTTGAGCAAAAGGCTCTGATACCATAAAACGATTAGAGGAAGAGATAATCTATTCACATACAAGTGTAATTTAAAATCTATTCACATACAAGTGTAATTTAAATACATGATTACAGACTTTTCTAATCCTTGTTTCAAGGAACTTGTATATATCTAAATATAACAGAATAGAATTTGAATAAGTCTTTGTAACAACTACGTTGTTATCTTATCTAATAACCCGGATATCTTTTTAGCCATTCATTGTTAGCTAAACACCTATAAAGCTTCTCACAAATGGCGGCTTGGAAGCGTCTACACTGCTTCCATGTAAAAACCAAGCCACTGAAAGGGAGTTCATTTAAATTGCAATTCTGAAGAATTTGCCTAAACCCATCCAATAGATAACTTGGATGAATATCTCCACCCATTTTTTCCTCTTGACGAAGTAGGTCATTAAAATCACCTAAACATAGCCAAGGCATCGTGTCTCTACTTGCAAGAGCTCTCGATAAATTCCAAGATTGCCTTCGTTTGTTTCTTTCTAGAAAACCATAGAAGCCAATAACCCTTACTCAACTGTTATCCAGTAAAATAGCCATGCCACCACCTCGACCCAATCTATCCGCGATAAAACTGTTAGAAAATCCCAACTATTATTGAACCTCCTCCACTTACTTTCCTATGTTAGCATTTCGATAAAAAAAAACCACCACCGGCTTATATCTCAAGGTCAGCTCTTTGAGAACTCTTATTGTTTGGGGGTTACCAAGTCTTCGACAATTCCAGCATAAGGTATTCATTGCGCCCGGCTATTCCCGGACCCCAGGATCAGCTAATATAAAAGGAGATGAAGCCACAATCGAATCCTTGGATCTAGATACAACTGGGGCAGTTTTCTTTTGTGGTTGTGGTCTCTTCTTCCCATCATCAGTTTGTGGAATAGCTTCGTTTTTCTAGGGAACTCAATTTCTCACCATTACTATCCATGTCCATGAAAACCACATCGTCATTCCGCTGACTGACTTGCAAAAGATTACCCATAAAGGCTCTATTGAACTCATGAACCTTAAGGCCATGAAAATTTGGTTCCAATCCCCTTCCAAGAAACATACCCCTACCAGTATAATGCACTCCATTTTCCTCTCTAAACATCACACTCTACTTCTAGGTTTCTCGTCTCAAAGGAACCTGTAAATTATTGATAGGACTTATTTTTATAGTATTTTTAGTTTAATTTTTATTAAGATTTTTAGCTTTTTTTTAATTACTTTGATTGAGATTTGTTTAGATTTATTTTTATTTTTAATTAAGTTTTCTTGATTCTTGATAAGCTTGATTTGAAGGGTTTTTAGCGGGAAAATAACCAAAATTTGCATCAAATTTAATTAAGTTTTCTTGATTCTTGATAAGCTTGATTTGAAGGGTTTTTAGCGGGAAAATAACCAAAATTTGCATCAAAGAAGGTTGGAGCTGAAAAATAAAGATAAAAGCTCAACATGACCAAGTTAGTAAAATACATAGCCTGACTGTGTCAGACGCCATGGCCATGTTCCCAAGAAAGTTGAAAATTCAACTGGGCCGAAATTGATTATTTTGCCCGTGTAGAATTGAAGTCCGGGCTTGTCTTGTGCACAGACTTGCATGGGAATAATAGAAGACTTACCTTGTTTGAGTTACAACCCTATTTGATCAAAGAAGATTCCTAATTGGGAAGAAACACAACATAAAATCAGTTTTCTGTTCAAATAACATTTCTTCTTAATTAAGCCAGCTAGTTTCCTAGTCGAATTCAAAAACATCGTATGAGGTGTATAGAAAGAGAGATCACTACACCAATTGAATTATCTTAGATCTTAGATCTTTGTTATACTTTTTTCTTAATTTTCTTTCTTTTAAGACTTCGAGCATTTAAAGTTTGTGTAAAGAATCTAGGAAGCCGTCCACGCTATTCATTTACTAGTTTTTATGTTTAAACTCTTAATCTTGTTTCTAATTTTCATTATTCATGTTGATTATGCAATTATTTTCAAGTTTAATTGAGTTTTCTTAATTACTATGTTGACCTAAATTATCATGTTAGGGATTTGATGTAGCTTAATTTCTATTTCAATGGACAATATTAGATTTGATTTTCCTTGTTCAAGGTATAATTTATTATTGAACTTAATGTTTCCAGACAAAGTTTCTCCCCTAGTTGCTTTTAATCTTTGATTTCTTTTCATCAAATTATCTTGTTTGATTTCTTATTGCTCTCATTTATTTCTTTTATTTTTCAATATACTTTCCTTATTATCATTCAAATAATAGTAGGTTAACACAATTCAGGTGCTTGGTATACTGTCCTTGTGGGTTGATACTCTACTCACTCTTTTTTATTTGTTTGTAATTTCATGCACTTGCGAATTTGCCTTGTTAAGTTTTTGGTGTCGTTGTCGCGGATCGGCATTAAAAATATCAATACTAATTACCCTATTATTAATTGAAACATTTATTTTTCTGTTACTTTAACTTTTCTTTTACAAGAAGTTTTAGGTATTTTATGTAAAGAAGATCTCGTAGCATTGGACCTTTGATTTTTGACCGAAAAATTGAAAGGCCTTATCAAAGAAATAATGCTAGGAGAAGAAGTTGAGAACGTGAAAGCAGAAGACAATCAACTATGGCTAACAATGGAGAATTATAGGCTTTATTATTGCAAGAAGAACAATAGGTCTTGCAACATCAGCCCAATCAAAGGCCCCAACCTCCTATTCGCACCTTTTGAGATTACACAACTCATTCTCTTAATGGGGCCATTTCAAGTATCACTAGGCCTAGGGTGGAAACTAATAATTTTAAGGTCAAGCTTGCAATTATTCACCTGCTTTTCACTTTAATTCAATATGGAGGTTTGCCTAGTGAAGATCCTAATGCCCACATCACAAACTTTCTAGAGATTTTTTATACTTTCAAGCAAAATGGAGTTTCTGAAGATGTCATAAGATTGAGACGATTTCCCTTCACTCTAAGGGATAAAGCACGTTCTTGGTTGCAATCATGCCCTGCTGGAAGTTTCACTACTTAGGAAGAACTAGCCAGAAAATTTCTAGTTAAATTCTTTCCATCTTCAAAGACAATAAAGCTTCGTAATGAGATAATGAATTTTGCTCTCCATGATCAAGAGAGTTTGCAAGAAGCTTGGGAGAGATTCAAAGACCTGTTGAGGAAATGTTTGCACCATAACTTACCCAAGTGGTTACAGGTACAAACTTTCTATAATGCACTGTCTTATACCAAAAAGATCACTTTAGATGCTGCTGTTGGAGGTTCTTTTAAAAGAAAGGAGATCGATGAGGCATATGATTTGATAGAAGAGATGGCGAGCAATAGCCATTACCAAAATGCCTCCGAAAAAAAGAAACCTGCAGGAATTTATGAGATTGATGCCATCACCGCATTGAATGCAAAATTAAACATTATGGTAAAGAAATTTGTGGGTCCCGTATATGCATGGCACAATCCAAGAGGGGGGTGAATTGGGTTTTAAAAAATTAAATATAACTTTCAAAAACAAAATCAAAATTCTGTTGTAGCAGAAATAGAAAGCGTTTGTGAGAGTTAATTATCAAGATTAGAACTTCCTCACAAAACATAATGCAAGATTAGAAAGACTTTGTAAAGAGCAGCTATTGATTAGAACTGCTTCACAAATCTTAATCAATTTCAAAAACACTTTATGCAGGAAAGTTATTACGATTACTTTAATCAATTTCAAAAACAACTTTATGCAGGAAAGTTAATTACGATTAGATACTTCATAAAGCTTAGAACAAATATTCAAGATTTCTGTGAAAGACAGTTTATTGAAATTTTAAAACTGACTTCACAAAGCTTAAAGCTAACTTGAAAACTATTAAATGTCAAATTTGTGTGATTTATCACTGAATATAAAAGAACAGATTAGAACTTAGTATAATCACATATGCAAAGTCCAAAGTTCTAAGATGTTTATAAAGATAAAGGCTTATTTGAGTTTAAGAACCATAAAACATTAACAACTTTGCATTTCTAAAAAGATTTAACAGAAGTGTAAGTAATGGAATCAAGTAGAATCTTCAGAAATAAAAAAGATAAACGCAACGATTGATAGTGGTTCAGCCCTAACTCGCCTACATCCACTCCCCAAGACCCATCTTGAGATCCTCCACTCATGTTATCTCTTTTCAGGGTAAGAGACAAACGCAACAGTACAAGGCAATAGATCAACACTTAGATCTTACGCCTTTGTCCACTCAGATTTCTAAAGGTTCCCTTAGTCACTTCACCTTTTGTTGTTTTGTAGAGAACAGACAATTCAAATCAAACATTAGAATCCATACAAGGAGAAGGCGGCTTTGATAACCTATTTACAATAGCTTTTTCACTAAATTATTACAAAGAAACACAAAAAAGTTTTTTCAAATAAAAAGCGCTGTCTAACAACAGATTACCAGAATCTTATAGACAAAAAAAAAGAGAATGAAATATAGCACAAGAAAAACTAGAAATCAAGAATTAGAAATCAATTTAAAAGAACATAACTGTTTTTCAAAAGAAGTTGTTATAAAATTTTTCTTTTTCTCTTAAAATATTTCTGAAGCAATAAGACGAATGAAATTAGGGGGTTTAAGAGAGAAGTATTTTTGAGAGATAAAAACGTTGAAGCAATTATCTTACTACTCTTACTCTTGTAAAACAAATTACCCACGTCTTCACAAGAGGAAGACGCCTTTTATAAAAGGATGAAGATCCCGTTTTAGAAAGTGTAATCTTTATCCTTCAAATGAGAATTTTGACTTTCAAAAACCAAAAGATACAGAGATCTTGTAGCCAAAAATGTTTTGAGTCAAAATATTTTCTTTTAAGATAAGCGAATAAAAGCAAGATTTTAGACTTTCTTTATAGAACAATTTCTGAAAATAAAAAGATATAGAAATCTTTTTCAAATATTTTGTTACCAAAAATAGTTAAGACAAAATCTTTTTCTTGTAGAAAAGTAAATAAAAAGATCATGATTTGACTTTTATTATTTAAGGTAGTTTTCGAAAATCATTTTTAAGAGACACTATAAAAAAAATGCGTTTTTGCGACTGATTTTCTTGCGATGATATTACGACCAATTGCGATGATTGGGAGAGTGAATATCTGCCGACCGATTTGCGACCAAATGGTGACAGAATTTGCAACCAAACGGCGACAAAATTTGCGACCAATAAGAAATCCGTCGCTAACTATAGCGCTAATAATTCCTGCCAAATTTAGTTCTCTGTCTGCAAAAGATTAGCGAACGATTTGTGACTGATTGTTTGCAACCGATGAGTTTTGTCTCAAATCTGTCGCAATTTGCTCCATATTAAAACGACACCACAGAATTAAAAATTGTGACCTATTTTTTGAATAATTTGTGACCAACGTGAGTAAGGGCTTTATAACTTGCGCGAGCAGCCTCCTTCTTCTTTCTTCTCCTCCCCCATTCGCAGTGCCATTCCCAGCCATTTGCAGCATCATTTCCAGCCGTTTGCCGCCTCCTTCTCCGCTCTATTGCAGCGCCGGTTGCCAGAGAAGCCCTTCTCCTCTTCGTTCGCGGTCATCAGGTCAGATACGAGTTGCTCTCTTTTTATTTTTTTTGGTTCTCGTTTTTGTTCTTTTTTTTTTTTTTGGATTTCGTTTCTTTTGGTTGTTCTTGTAGTTGCATGACAAAGGTAGTTGCATGACAAAAAATTAGTTGTTATTTAGTTCTATCTTTTGGTTTGTAGTCTGGCATTGTGTGTTTGTTTATTAAAATAAATGACAAAAGGAAAAAAAAAGAAAAATTTTGATATTGTAATGTAATTTTTGGAATTTTTTTTATTTAGGCAATTGATATGTAATTTAATCAATGTTTAATCAATCTAATTTTATTAATTAGGCATTCAATCAAATAATTTTAATAAGTTAAAGTATTCATAGATGCATTTAAAAAATTAAAGTGTTCAATTGATTTGAAAATAAAATAAAGAGTGCCAATAACACTTTTGTAAATTTCAAATATATTTAAAAAGAAACAAATAATAAATTCTCATGTTTATTTGTTATTTTTATTTCTAACACTTGCCCAATTCTTAGTAAAATTAAAGTTGAAGAAGTCCTTTTGTAACGTTAGTAAAAGTAAGTGGAAAAACAAAAAATCACTATCTTATTAATTATGTTAAAAAAAAAACTTTAAAATTCAAGTAAACAAATGACAAAAAACATATTGTTGTAACTAAAACAACCATAATATAAAATAAGTGCATAATAAGATAAATCAATATATGTGCATATATAACCCCTTAGAAATATATGTGGATATATAAAACAACGCATAACTAATATTTTATTCATTTTTTTGTAATTTATGAAATAATGCCATTGTTGTTATTATTCTTTTTTTTTTTTTTGTTATGAAATGAATGATGCGTGAGATGTTGGAGGCCTAGTAATGGCCATTTTGCCTTTAGAGAATATTGATATGATATAGAAGTGTTTATTGAAGTGTGTTTTTATTTGAGATTTGATTGTGTTGTGCCGAAATACCGCCGAATGTTTTTAAAAAAAATTGAATATGTGGAATCGTACACTTACTGATATTATAATACGTTTATATATATATATATATATATAACCTTAGTATTGAACAAATGAATTTAGTCAATTTACATTTATATATAGTTACCCTTATTATAGAAATAACCTTAATAAGTTAGAAGTGTAAATTGAACATTACATTTGGTATGTTTTAAGGATGGTTTAGACTAATGCAATGACATATAATTTTCCCTTTATAAACACAGTATTAATTAGGTAAAAAAAATGCAGACTAATCGAGATTAGATGTACTGGCAGTACGAGGTCAATGGGATATTAAGACGAGTTCTTGCAAGGATTGGAGGCATTTATACAGTTTGCAGTTGGTAATCCCAATTGTATGGATGGTAATAAGTTGGATCATATAAGTTGAGGGTGTCGCATGTATCACCAAGAGGTGTCAAATAGAGCCTCTTAGATTATCGATAAATTAAACTTCAAATTTATGCAAAAATGGTTCGTGAAAAAATTATTACGAATGGATACATTCCATGTGAACCTGCCTCGAGTTTCTAGTGGGTCAGGCCGCTCTATCCCGATAAGTTTAGAAGGTCAGCCTTATCAATTTCAGTATGGTAATCAATGTAATGATATGGTAATCGATGTGGGTAGAGAAGAATTTCATTGGGATAATATGGAGGAATCGCCAAACTATGCAGCACAACAATTGTTTGACGTACTAAGTGCACCTAACAGTGAACTGTGGCCTGAATACAAAAATGATTCAGTTCTATCTGTTGTGGCACGATTACTACACATGAAAGCGGAGCACCATTTCTCAGAAAGATGTTACGATGATTTTGTGCAGTTAGTAAAAGAAATATTGCCGGAAGGCCATTTGATGGTTGATAATTTTTACCGGACAAAAAAATTAGTTCAGGGATTAGGACTACCCATGGAAAAGATTGATTGTTGTCGTAGTAATTGTATGATATACTGGGGTCTTGACTCCAAATTAAGAGAATGCAAGTTTTGTAATCTTCTAAGATATTAACGGCGGGGTCGATGGATCAATTTGCAATGCATATTTGGTGCAAGAAGCTTCCACCTTCTGTTCACACTACTTCGAACCACATGTTTACACCAAGCATTGGAGAGTGTTTACACCAAGCCATTGGAGAGTGCCACAGTAATTGATAGACGGAGGAGATCGAATAGAAATTCTTGAGTTAGAAGGAAATCTAACAATTTTCACACTAATAAATTGGGCGTACGATTGATAAATAAATAAATGAATGAACTATTATTATCTTCTAATATATCATGCATAAAAATTCATTACAGGCTGAAAAATATGGTCGTGAGCCCACATCGATCGAGGTGTTTACTTACACTCACACGAAGGGCCACGATGGAAATACGTTTGTCGACAAACATATGGTGGGCATCAATGTAAGTAACAATGAAGAATATTTACAGTTACCTTCTAGTCTTTGCTTACGTGTAAAATTTCAATATGATAAAGCTTGCAACTGCATTGATTAATTAATTTATTGTTTTCAAGAGAACTATAGTACAGCTTTCGAGTGTCTTGTTTCTTCTCAGGCTGAAGCTGAAGCTGAGTCAAGAATTGATAAGTTAACACTTTTTCTGGAGGCCGT